AACTTTTCACTTGCTTTTCTGTACTTATTATTCATCTGGGGTTTTCATAGACATCGTTGCCATGGAAGCAAAGTGAGATATTTCCACTTTTGAAATGTATTCAATATTCTTTTTCTGTGCACTTTTTCTTCTCCACCAATGCTGATTCTTTCGATGTCCCATCTCTCCCATTGCTTCTTTATTTGAGATTGCCTTGCCTTCATGGGGTATTTTCCCACAGCCCCCTGCACTGATAATGTCCATTCTTACATTAAGGTGGCAAAAGTAAACAGCAATGAAAATGTTGTTATTTCTGGGGAAAAATGCAGATGCAGGAACTTGTCACAAGCTCTGTTTTCTTCATATAAACCTAGGACTCTTGTTCTTCTTAGCCACTGCTGACTTTAAGTTACAGGTTATTTGGAGGGGTCAGTAAAGAAACAGAGTTTTTACTCTTTCTCCAAAATGTTTGAGAAGTCTTGGCAAGTACCTGAACATCTATACAGAACCCTCTTAGCCAAAAGGGGATAGCTGAATAGCAGCACTGCTGCAGCTGAGATCAGCTGAAGGCCTTGGGCTGGATGAGATGGGTTTTCAGGTCTTTTATCTACTGTTATGGTTAAGTTTTATGTAGCCTAGCTCAAAATCAGAAAAAAATTATAAATAGTCTAAATAGTCTAAATAGAACTTCAGACCACTAAAATGACCAAAGTCTCAAAGACACCAGAAAAACAGGGGCAGAGGTTGGTGGGGAAAGAGTGGGGAAGGAAGATGACTTAAGTGCTGAGATTATTTTTTTTTCTGGTGGGTGAACAGCTCTACAGCTCTGCTACATTTTAGCTGTTTTGTGGATATTGGTGTCAGCATTTTATTTTTTCTTAAACTTAGAAGAAATCAAGTTTTTTTGCTTTCTATTCCTTCATAAAAGCTAAACTACTGTTCTGTTGTTACCCTTCCCTTCAAATGGAAAGATTCAAGTACATTGGTCTCAGACCCAGTTTCCCAGTAAGGCACTGAAACAGGCTGACAAATTTCTGTGGAGCATCTCTGAGTCAACCACACACTGGCTTTGGCTCTCTGGAGCCTTCAGCCATAAACAAATGCTTGCAGAGAACCTTTGTTATATTGCAATTGATTTATGTTTCCAGTTAGAATAGATGTTTTCAGCTCATTTCCCAGCTCTGCTTTATTACTGTTTATATGCCATCTCTATTTCCCACTTGCATTTATTAAGCTGGTTACTTTTTTAACAGTGTCTTTTTCCTTTGTGGAAGCTGGCTCAGATTCCAAGACAAGGCATAATATGGATACTTATAGGGCTTCCCAACCCTTCGTTTTAGGGTAGGAAGAGAGCTTGTCCCCACTCTTCTGTCTGCACTTAAGGAGCAGACATCTCTATTAACAACTACAAAAAGTCTCTTTGTGCTGCATATTTCTATTGTTCATTTTTTCCAAAGGTTGTTTGCACTCCATTCACCCCAGAGTTCCCATAAAATGTCTCATGGTATATTTCACAATAACCAGGTAGTAATCAGTGTCATGATTGTGTCTTTTGATAACGAACAGAATTCTTTGCATATGCACACACTGTTAGCTTGAGCAGCAATATAATTTTCATTTGACTTGTTGAGTCAAAGAACTGGTCTGTCAGGAATCCTCTACTGCTACTGCCAAGCCTATTCTTCCCATAGCCAAGTGTTGCTTCGGGAAATTCCAGGTCAGTCTTGACACGGGTAGGTAGCAGGGGACAGACCTATACCAGGAACTTCTGATATATATATATATATATACTGATATATATGTATCAGTATATATACACCAGGAAGCTGGTATAGGTGCTTTATAGATTTTCCACTGCACATGTTCTATTCCTTTTCTGAGTAGCATTCTCTAAATTCGCCATATGAACCATATGAAATTAAGGAGATTGTCGCTCAAAATAAGTATTGCTTTAAAGACTCAGGTGGAGACAGTTTAGGCTGCAGATAACACACGATTACTGTTGCCAGTTGCTCTATAAAAGATTACTGCACAGTGGTCCTAGTACACTATTCTCCAGATCCATCAGAAAGCTCACAGCAAGTGAAATACTTAAACTGCAGGAAAGGAGGTTTAGGTTGAGAGTGGTGCTTTCTTTTTCTTTGCCTGTAAAGAGAGAGAGGCAGGCAACTGCATTGACTGGGAGGTCATAGGTTCCCATCTTCAAGAATTTTCCAAAAACAGGTTAGACAAGCATCTGTCAAATAATGCAAATGTGATTGCTTCTGCCTGTTGGACTAGGATGAAAGACTAAATTACCTCCTGAGACCATTCCAGTCCCTCATTGTCTCTGTCTGTACAGTTGTGCCATTTGAAGAACTGCTTCAAGCTGGAGCAAAACAGGATTCAGCAATCACAAGGAGTTTAGAAAGGACAGGTGCCGGATTCTACACCTGGGATGGGGCAACCCTGAGTGTACAGGGTGAGAGGCTGAGGAGCAGCACCGTGGAAAGGGAGCTGGATATCCCAGTCACCAGAAGGTTGAACGTGAGCCAGCAGTGCCCTGGTGGCCAGCAGGGCCGGCTGGGTTCTGTGGGGTATCAGGGACAACATCACCAGCCGGGCAAGGGAGGGGATTGTCCTGCTCTGCTCTGAGCTGGGGCAGCCTCACCTTGGTCCAGGGGGCAGTTTTGACCAATATAAGAAAGATGTAAAGCCCCTGGAGAGTGTCCAAAGCAGAGTAATGAAAATGGTTGAGGGCCTTGAGGGGAAACCATATGAGGAGAGACTGAAGTTGCTTGGTCTGTTCAGACTGGAGAAGAGGAGAGTGAGTGGAGACCTCATTGTGGTGTTCACCATCCTCACAAGGGGAAGCTGAGGGGGAGTCCTGATCTCTTCATTCTCATGACCAGTGACAGGACTTGAGGAAAAGGCATGAAGCACAGTCAGGTGAGGTTTAAGCTGGATATCAGGAAAAGGTTTTTCACCCAGAAGGTGGCTGGGCACTGGGGAAGTGGTCACAGGAGCAGCTTGACAGTGTTCAAGAAGCATTGAACAAGTCTCTCAAGCCCCTGATGTGATACTCAGCATATTCTATAATTCTGTTAAAAGTATCTCAATATGTGATGAAATTGCACCCATTTTGGCACAGAAGTATGTTCTGATCTTATTAGATCATTTCAAGTGCTGCAAAAGTGGAAGAAATCTTACTCATATGAAGAAACAGAAAACTGTAAGAATAATTATTCTGTATTTAGTCACCTTGTGTGTTTATTTATCTATTCACCTTCCTCCATGCATTTTTAAAGGAAAAAAGGAATGTTGGCAATTTGTAAGAATGCCAAGTAAACGGTATTCTGAGTATTTCTATGAACAGTAACATGGTTGTGTTACTTCTCCATCGGAATGAGAGGAAGCTCTCATTCCTGCAAACCAGGGGAAGCTCTTCCTGCTCTTCTGTTCTTGTCAGGCTCTCTCTGGCTGCTCTGCTTTACATCTTTTGGCTCTTGGTGAGACAACAGCTGTGGGTCTATATAATGGGGAAGTCTAGGTTAGCTTACGCATAGAATCATAGAATGACTTGAGTTGGAAGGGACCATAAAGATCATCCAGTTCCAACATGTCTCACATAGGCAAGGATACCTTCCACTAGAAGAGATTGCTCGGAGCACCATCCAGCCTGGCCTTGAACACTCCTAGGGATGGGGCATGCATGACTTTTCTCTGGGCAATCTGTTCTGGTGCTTCACCAACCACACAGAAAAGAACTTCTTTCTAACTTCAAATCTAATGATGTTTGAACCCATTTCCCCTTGTCCTGTCATTATGTGTTCTTGTAAAAAGTTCCTCTCCATCTTTCCTGTAGGCTCCCTTCAGGTGCTGGAAGGCCACAATTAGATCACCCCTAAACTTTCTCTTTTCCAGGTTGTACAATCCCAATTTTCTCAATTTTTCCTTGTAAGATAGGTCCTCCATCCCTCCCATCACCTTTGTGGCCTCCTCTGGACTCCCTCCAGCAGGTCCATGTCCTTCCTGTGCTGGGCCCCAGAGCTGCTGCAGCCCTGCAGGTGGGGTCTGAGCAGAGCAGAGCAGAGGGGCAGAATCCCCTCCCTGGCCCTGCTGCCCACCCTGCTCTGGATGCAGCCCAGCACACATGTGGCTCTCTGGGCTGGGAGTGCCCATGGCTGGCTCATGTCCAGCCTCTCAGCCACCAGCACCCCCAGGTCCTTCTGGGCAGGGCTGCTGTGATCTGTCCATCCCCAGCCTGTGCTGGTGCCAGGCTTGCTCTGACCCAGGTGCAGAGCCTGCACTTGGTCTTGTTAAACTTCATGAGATGGCCACGGACCCATGTCTTGAGCTTGCTCAGATCCCCCCTGGATGGCATCCAATTTTTCAAGGGTCTCAACTGGACCATTAAGCTTGTTTTCACCTGAAAATTTGCTGAGAGTGCACTCAATCCCTTTGTCTATGCCATTGATCTTGATATGGACCTCTGAGCAGCTATACAGTCACTGATAACCATCAGGTCTCTGAGACACATGCCATTACCTTCTGGATGCAACCATCCAGCCAATTTTTTTATCCATCTAATCCATCTCTCTCCAGTTTAGAAAGAAGGATGTTGGGTAGCACCATATGAAAAGATTTACACAATTCCAAATAAATGATATCTGTAACCCTTCACTTGTCCAGTGATGTAGTCATTCCTTCATAGAATACCACTAGGTTGGTTTAAGGAGGTATGAGGATTCAGTACATTTGTTACAATCAAACCTATATATTGACTACTGTTAAGCATAGTCTACTCATTGGCATGGCAACAGCTAATGATATTTATTATTTTATTCTCAGTTACAACACCTGAGACATTCAAAAGCGATATTGAAGAAGTGGTGGGTGATGATAGGGAAAGAAAGTCAGGGGAAGTGAAACATTAGGCTGCACCAATTTCTTTGAGGATTGCAGCTATAGCTTGTCTGTCTGTCTGCTGTTTATTAGACTCAAGAAATTAATTGCTACCTGTTTCATGACCTGTATTGCAGCAAAATTCCACCTGCTCTCTAGTATGAATCTGAATCCTCTTCAGGACCACACATCACTGAAAAGGAGCTTCCATTTTTTCCTGCTAAGGCTCCATGGCTGGCAATCTTACAAGTGTACTTTGCTTGCCCTGGCTACCCAATTAGCAGCTTCAGACTACAATTCACTTCATCTTCCGTGTTTGAACTTCACCAAGATGCCAAGTATGAGACAAGGTACATAATGAAAATAATATGGTACTTTCTTGTGTTCTGAATTGTCTAGTCTTACTAGGATCAGTTCACCTCAGTTCATTAGAAACCAGTTCCTCTGAGAAAGAAGCTGTATTGAAATAACCTTACCCATCTGGAGACAGACGTTAAAAAAACAGGAAAGAAAACAATGTTATTCTTCTTTAAGTCAGCATCTTTTTAACACAGACAGACAATATCCCAAAACATATAGTGCCTGTTGTAATTCTTCTAATTCCTCCTGGTATTACAAGAGGAAATGAATTTATTTCCTGGTATCTAAAGTCTCTCATGCTATCAAACAGGTCCAAGTTATCTTTGAGCAGGGGCATACATACAAAATAAACTTTTTCAGAAATCCCTGTTGACATGAAGTTAGTATTACGGTTTGTCTCTTGAAGTCCTTTTGGAGTCACAAGGACAAATCAATATTTTTAATGGAAACCTAGTGCTTTCCTAAAAAATAGCATTGTAGTCCTGAGCAATGACTACACTATAGCTCAACAGTTCTCTTATTTGGCCATTTCATATTTGAAGTTTAACGGCTTGCATGGACTTTATTTGAGGTATTTGAATATGACTTTTCTTTTCTCTGGAGCTTATTTATCCATTGTAGAAATAAAAGTTGTGTTTTGAGAATGGTGTTTAATGAATATTCTGGAAAAAATTGCAAAACCCCAGAACAAACAAACATGGATGCATTTAAGTAACATCTTAAAAAGAGATAAAGTCTAGCATGAGATGAACACATCAAGAATTAACATGTCTTTGCCTTTGCCATCTTGGTTGTTCCCCCTCTGATTGGTACATGAAGTTTGGACTACTCTTTGCCTAGAGCCTGGGTTTGCGTAAGGGGTAAGGTCTTCCCTTTCTCTACAAAACCACATGCCACTTTTGTCTGCCAAGCCACAGGATCTGAGCTCCATCTGTGGCATGAATACGGGGCAACTCTGAACAAAATGTGCACATATGTCAACTCTACATGCTAGTGAAGCAAAGCCAGAAACCCACAATCAGGCAAACAGAAACCTTTTGCATTGTAGAGACATTAAATGAAACACTCATTTTTACAATTTGCAACATTAATCTTTAACCTAAAGGCTTTGCCTAAAACTCCAAGTATTTAGGTCACTCCAAGTATTGGTGGTTTGAAATGTCATTTTAAAAACACTGCTCTCTCAAACTCCTGCTGGCACTGATATGCCAAGAGCATGAGTTTAACATATGTTGGGAGCATATAAAATCACTGTAGCAGAACAGCAAACATATGAGCAATAGTGGCACTGAGAAGCATCATGTGTCAGCCAGATCAGATAAAAGTGTCAAGGAAAAAAAGGAGGGGCAATGGGATAAGAGAAGGAGGCAAAAGAAAAAGATGTATTAGAAAGGAAAGCATGTGAAAAGGTGATGTCTGTTAATGTAATTTGTCAGCTACAATAAGAATTATTGGAAAATCTGGCAAAAGTTTTCTGACTAAACTCATATTATAGGATTTTGATCCTATTTTGATCCTGATTGCATCCAGGAGTGACAGGTTTGCAGATGATTTCAAAGCCCTTAGAGAAAGCAAAACATACTGTTTCTGTCATTCTTTTGCAAAAGGCAGCTTTGTATAGGATAGGTCCTGCAATAAGTGGAATTTCTTTCCCTTCCTCCTGCAAGTTCTAGTAAAAATCAGCATTCTAAATGTAAACTCACCTTCTAAAGCAGTATCAGTATTCACAACTGGGAATGAAAAAGTGAATTACAGCTGAGAGCATTCAGTATGTCTGCTGGTGAATAAAGAAAAACAGCTGTTGGTGGCAACCAACTGTGAAGATCATGTGGACAATGTTATGTTCAGAACATAAAATGAACAAGCTGCATGCTGGCATGTATTCTGTTGCAGCAATAGTGCCCAGTGACTTGTAAAACATTACAAATGGAGCCAAAACTGTATAGATTAGAAGCAATACAGACAAAATTTATCATAGTTGTGACTACACAATGAATGCAGCTAGCTTGGGCCTTGTCTTGTACCATAAACCAGGGCCTAATGTGAGATATGCACTGCCATTGTACGGTTTAAACCTGATTCCTGCTAAGCTGGAGAAAACTACACCCAGAAGTGATGAGTCATTAAACTACCCTGATATATTCTTCTCTTAGCAGAAGCACTAATTCATGATGATACTTTGATACATTTTTTGTTTAATTTCAGTACACTTTATACCAGGACTTTATATCTGTAGCTCAGAGTGAAAACAGGAATTCACATCTTGGAGAGGCAATCATCTGTTCTCTATGATGAGTATATAGCCTGGGAACCAAAAGACTTGGAAACCTGTTTCCAAATCATGCTCTGTGCTCTTCTTCTACATGGGCAATTTCCATCCCCCCATTTACAAGAAAGGAGAGCTGACTCCTACCACACTTAGACTGAGCTCATTACAAGGTTCACAGGAGTACCAGGGATGTCCTGTGAGATCAGATCTTCTATGACCTATGTGGGAAGACTGAAATTCCATATGACCAGGTCTCCAATACAGTGGCAGCGTGCAAGAGAAATGGGTCACTTGACAAGTACAACCTGTCATGGGTGACTGTGGCAGAGGCAGACCTTGAGACACAGCCCCTTTTAATGCAGAAATGTGTCTCCTCCATTTATAAGGTATCCTGCTATGATCACAGCCCTCAAAGTGCTCACAGCCCTGAGCACTCTCATGGGAAGCTGCAAGTCTGTTGTGCAGAAGGCCCAATGGCTCTTCAAAGGACAGCAATTGACTGCAATGCTTAATCACAAAGACAGAGCAGCACCTCACTTCCTCCTTATTTACTAAAGATGAACATCTCTCACTGGAATTTCTTTTGCCTCTCCCCTGAAATGTGTGACTCCTTGCTAAATGTTTTCCCTAAAGACTGAACTTTGTTGAGCCATTGGTTATTTCTCTCCTCTCCTGTTTCCAGAATATGGACTCTACCCTCTTTAAAAGCCATTGGTAAAGATAGTTCATGTATTTTCTATTCTAATGCAGCTTTCCTGACAGACAGCAATGTGGATGCTATGTGCAAAAGATGAGACATTCTTCTCCATGTGCATGACGTGCATTACCTGCAGACACCTCCTCCAGAGACTGCTGCTGCACTTCACAAGCTCCTCCCACCTGGGACATTTTCACTCCTTAGAAAGTTGCTCCCCTCTTTGAGCACCAGAGATGTCTACTACCAGAGTCCTCTCAGAGGGTCATGTGGCCCTCATGATTGCCTCATCTGATGTTTTCCATCACTTCTACTGAACATATCCCTGTGGAAGGAGTCCAGACCTGTTTCACAGACATACTGATGGAGGTGCAGAAAAGCTAATGGTGGGATTGAGCTCACCTTCTTTCACCTAGCCCCAAAATCAGGGATCTAATCAGAACTAGTCATCTAGGCTCTCTCTACAGTCAATGACAAAAGACAGGTACCTCCACAGCATGATTCACCCCTCTTTTCTTGGACAACTCTCCTAAAAGAGGTTGGATGGTACTCCAGAGACGCCTGTCTATCTGCCTGAATGATAGAGGAGATCTAAATAACTGGCTTACCTGAGATACCTATCTGCAGGATGACTTCAGCTAAGTGCTGGGCTCCTGCTCCAAGTGGTGCACCCAAGCTCAAGAGGGAAATCTGAGGTAGAGTCAGGAGTCAGATTCTTTCTCCCACATCCAAGGCCTCTCCCCAATTAAAGAGTCCTTCTTCTCAATGGAGACATTCTTTAAAACAGGAAAATGTTAAATATCTCTGCCTCTGATATCACACTTCTGACACCTCCTTTGTTCCATGCAAATCCTTTTAAAATCCAAAAGCTGCTATGAAAACACAGATGTAATTTTTCCTCTGTCTTTTTGTTCTTTCTTTAAAAGACCAACAAACAGAACAAAAAACCACAATTGGAAAAATTCAGGAAGAAAATGCTCAAGGCTACAGCATGGTTTCTATCTAATTTGAATTCAAATGAGTTTTTCATTATTTCTAAATTTAATTATACCCTTCAAATGTATAAAATTGCATGTGAAAATAGTAAACAGATCTTAAATATACCATAGAACACCAGGCAGAGTCACAAACACTGCTAATTTGCAGGGATGCTGTTTTCTTGATCAACATAACACCATACCTTCCTCTGTGTCCTCAGCCAGACTAAGCATATGGAGAAACTTCTTTTGCATACCCTAAAAATGTATATAAATATGTCCTTATCTGAGATCTAGCAAGCAGATTTGACCTTCAGAGGGAATGCTAGGACTCTTTCGCAGCTTTAAAATGCCCTGGAGAATGTAACTGGAACCAATAATTTTCCAGAAGTACTGTTTAACTAACCATAATTGTTCTTATATCACATATATAATTTCCCTGTTAATGCTATTGGAATTTTCAAAACTTTCTGTATTTCTGCATTAAAATAAAGCACATGTGTCTCAGAGGACTTTTTATAACATCCTCTTTTGGTCCTACTGAGCTCTTTTGGCTCATAACCCTATTACATTCTCCAGGATTTACTCATAGGAGTAAGGGTCCAGGACATGATCCAAATACAGTGGCTGTTTCTCCTCCTTTGTTCTGTGCCTTCACAGAAGCCTATCTTATTATTTTTCAGAGAACACAAATAAGAGTGGTGGTTGTAACGAATTGCAATAGGTTTGTTCTTTACAAATCCTGAAACAAATTTCATGCAACAAATGAAAGGTTTCTGTTTCACCCATTGGATTTCAAGGATTTTTGAGAGTAGCAAAGATGTCAGAACCTCTTCAAAACATCATCAGCTTGTACTCTTTGAAGTACTAGGTAACTTAATTTAGCATGTCATTATAATAGCTCTAACAACAGGACAGCAGGATTAACGTGTAGTGGGGAGCTAAAGGGGAAGTTCACACCTTTCCAAAGTTTGTTTTCTTGTTTGTTAAACAGCCCACAGACCTGGAATGC